GTGAAAAGTCTCTCTGGTTGCCATGACCTCAGAATGGTGGAGCCCACTTACAACACCAATACATAAAATTGAGGACTTCTTTCTATTGATCATTAGAGCTTGTCATAGAATTTGGTTGTATGCTTGGATTGAGAATTGGGTTGAAGGTGAAGATTGTGCTTCAGAAAATCTGGGTTCCAACCAGCTTGGTCACATGATTCCTGTCAACTTAGATCACCTTTAATCTGTGTTGGTGTTCCTCATCCTCATCTCCCTCAGATGGTCAAATGACCCTTGATTACTATGCACATATAGAGGTGTGTATGTACACACAGACTCTCATATAAATGTACATAGCACTGCATTTTCTCTTCATGGAGTTTGCAGCCAGGATTCACTCATCATAGTTTCTCTACAGGTAATCTAACTAACATTGAAACAGGAGGGAAAATCCACTGATGTGCCCTCAAGTGTGTTTACATGGACAAATAAAAGGGGGCTTGGAGGGGGCTGAGCTCAACTCACACCTCTGTGATGTGTGACTGGACCTTCTGGTTAGACCATTTTCTCCCTGAATGTTCTGGGCCATTTACCTATTTTTTCTTGTACTTCTGCATCCCACTTTTAGTTACAGCTTTTAAAAAATGGTGCTGTTTCCAAGCTGGGCTCCAAGAAGTTTCTGTGTAAGATTTCTGATGTTGAAGTGTTGACCATCAGCTCCCTAAGGTTAAGAATTTTCCAGATACTACTTGGAGCTTTGTCCTCATTTTCTGCCCAACAAAGGCAGCCTCCTGTTTGGAAAAGATCTCCTGGCTTCTTGCTGTTTTTTTCATCAAGTGCTTCTGACTTGATTCCAAGGAATCTCTTCATCTCTGTTCTATTTAAACCATGTTATTATATTACAACCTTCCAAGGAGACAGTGTGGGGCGGGAAAACAAACAGAGGCAGTCTATTCCATATCATCAAAGGCCTTACAGGAGGAAGATATGACATACCAGTTTCTTGTTCTTTTTCCTGCTCATCGCTGTGCAGGAGGATTATTGAGTTTAATTGAAGTCTGTTTCATTTTTTTTCTCTGCCATTGATGTGGGTTTTAGCTCAAGTGGAATGAAACATATCAGGTCTGAAGGGAGATTACTTTTACAAATTAAACCAATGTATCTTACTGAGCTCTATTTCCAGAAATGTGACCTTATTATACTTCATAATTAAAGATGGGAGCAATAAAGACGTGCTAGCCAACATGCCTTCTAATAATGCCTGCTGGATTTGAATTAAATTTGCTGGTGACCATTAAAGCATCACAGGGTGTTCTGTGGGGGACCATGAAGAAAAACTCCCTATTGTCTCCAGAGGAAACGTCGTAGGCCCTTGTTCTTAGGCAATGAGAGAATCTTGAGGAGTCGCTGGTGCTCCAGAGCAAAGGGCAGGTAAGAAGGGCCGGCAGGCTTGTTGTCCTGGTGCATTCCAGAGAACTGGGAGAGGAGGAGGGGAAGGGAACATGGGCAAAGGTGTAAGCAGGAAGGTGCAGGGAAAGGCTGAGGACCAATGGAGCCTCAGCAGAAGAGAGGGCACAGACACGGTCTAGGTAGAGGCAGGGAGGTACTGTGCTGTGGCCTCTGAGGAAAGGAGGCAGGGGATGTAGATGGACGGAAAAGTTTAATACTGCAAAAGATGGATGGAGAGGAGGAGCAAGTGGGACAGGATGTAGTAAAGAACACCTCAGTGTTGTGACACATATGTGTGCGTGTGCGCGCACACATACACACACATACACACTCAGAATAAAATCCTCAAACAAGTCCTAGTTAAAAAAAATGCATAGTGTTAAAATGGCAAAGGCAGCCCTTATTTTCTCAGACTTTGCCCTAAAGTCACAAGGGAGCAGCCCCAAATCATAAGCCGTGCTTGTCATGTCAGTGGGAGACACGAGCTCCCAAAACCAACACACTGGGCAACCACCATGGCCTGTAGTAGCTGTTGTCTGGGAAAGTGCTCCACGTGCTGCTATAGCACACCCTGAGCTCCAGTTTCCTGGGGGACAGGCGGGTCTAGATTCTGAGAACCTCTTGCTACCTCGTTGTTGCCAACCAATCTGTATGTAATTTTGATTTATGTGTGATTCTGCTTGAAGGCACCTCATTTAATAGGTATGGATAACTCATTAACTTTGAACTAGCACTGTAAGTCGTAAGTCCCACCTGCATGGGCTCATCAAAACCTGTGTGTTTTCTCTGCAGCACACTTCAGAGACTCCTAGAGCTCAGGAACACCAGCTGAATGAATTCAATACTTCATTTTAAAAACAAAGCCACCAACCAGAAGCTCAAAACTTGAAAACCATGGTGTTGAGTAGACTGTTGTTTACAGTATAAGAATGGAAACAAAACATAAGGCAGAAATACAAGGAATGGATTGGGTGTGAGACATCCTGAGGTAACAGGAGACAATGAAGCATGAATCAGAAAGCAGCAGGCCGAATGAGCAACACTCCCCACCCCAATCTCCAGTGTGTGGAAGAAGAGACACGGGTGTAAATAGACTAAGGAGTGTGGGGAACAAAGACGAGGAAAACGATTTGGAAAACGGCAGAGGGGACAACAGAGGAGAAAGAAACTGGAAAACGTGTGGATATTTGGTTTTGCCAAAGGAAATAATGACAGGATGCGGCACTTCAGCTCAGGAGAAATGGGAAACACAGGCCCAAAGGGCTGACAGCAGACCAATGTAGGGTGTGAACAAAGGTAGATAACAGTTCAGTTATAATGTGACTATGAAAGCCCCTGAATATGCAGATGTGGACTCTCCAACAAGGGGAAGCGAGAAGAGGTTGGAGGATGTCCCTGTAGCTCTGGAGATAGAGAGGAATAACTCAAAGCTGCTGGGTGAAGGAAGAGAGCTGTGGCTATGCTTACCAATGATAAGGAAGGGCAAATAAGAACTAAATTGCTGGTGGGTGGGAGGGAGATGAGGGAAAAGTGCAGTCATGGATGCGGTCTGTATCTAACTATCTAAATGGATATTTAATGTCATTTTCAAAATGTGTATTTTTCTGTTTTAAAAGTAACTTATGGGGGCTGGAGAGATGGATCAGTGGTTCAAAGCACACACTGTTCCTCCAGAAGTCCAGAGTCTTGAGTGTCAGTCAGGCAGGCAGCTCACAATGGTCTATAACTCCAGGATATCTGACCTCAGAGGGTGCCTGCAGTCATGTGCACATACTCACAGGCAGACACACATGCCTACACATGATTAAAAATAATAAAAACAATCTTTTTTAAAAGGTAAGGTTCAAAACCAAGTAATATTTTTCAAATTATCACACACACACACACACACACACACACACACACACACACACACACACATTCAAAAAACAATCAAATTCCACAATAAAGATATGGGTTTTCAGCACCTGAAATCACAACACTTAAGAGGGCTGAGGTTTTAGGAACACAATCAGTCTGAGGTCAGTCTGTGTGGTCAGGCCATTCAAGGCCACAGAGTAAGACTCTGTCCCCTAAACAAAACAAAACAAAAAGATAATTTTTTAAATCAAAAGGTAAAAAATATATATAACCAGTATGCCTGCAAATACCTATAATTCCAACACTTGAGAAGGTGAGATGGGGGACTGAAAATTCAAGGCCAGTGTGGGCTGCACACTTCCAAGTTGTCTCAAAAAGAAAACACAAGTCTTAACAGAAAACAGGTTACAGAACCATGAACCTGCTTTCTTACATAAGTGAGTTGCACCAGCTCTTTAAACCAAGTAAATAAGACCTTGGCTCACAACACAAACCCCAAGTTTGTTGAATAAAGACAATAAATAAAAAGCAAAAATTGGAGACTGGACAGATGGCTCAGTGATCTAGAGCACTGGCTGCCCTTCCAGAGGCCCCGGGTTCATTTCCCAGCACCCACATGGCAACTCACACCCATCTGTAACTCCAATCCCACATGATCTAATGCCTTCTTCTGGCTTCCTCAGGCACTTGGGCAAGTCCCAAGATTTACCAGCTCTGAGTCAGTGGTACAAGTACAAAGGACAGCAGGCTTGAGACTCAAGAAGCTTCACTTGAGTTGGATGTCCTTTTCGAAGGCTGTCAGACAGCAGATGCCCCATCTTCCTCGGGCTGTTTGATTTCTACACACGCCTTCAAAGGATCACATGAGGCTGGTCCATGCTAGGGAAGACACTCTGCTTTACCCAGTCTACCCATTTAAACATCAATCTGACCCCCAAGAAGGCTCTCTGACTCAGGCAGGATAATGTTTGACCAAATATCTGGAGATCAAATACACAGAAAATAACCGTGAACAAAGTTATGAATGAATAGGGGCTAAATACAGCCAAACAGCAATAGAGAATCCAGGATGAGATGGAAGGAACTACTAGAGAGTGGATGAATGAAGCTCAGAGCTGTACGAAACTGTGATGCAACTGAACGAGAACTCATTCAGCCTCACTCGAGTGTCCCGGTTGGGGTTAGGGGTGGCATGTGAGCATGAAGAAGTAATGTGCAGCCTGGACAAACACAGTGGCATGAGAGCACAATAGGTTTTAATCATCCTTTGTCCACACAAAATCATCCATCACTGTTCAGATACTGTTATAGCATGTGCAAAAATGCCTTAGCAAGATGTTCTGCTTTGTTGGTGCCTGTGTGAGGCACATCTCACAAGACATCATGGGAGCCCAGATCGATTGGCTTGATACAGGGGCACTGATCCTACCAACAGTGAAGGCAAGGTCAGTGGGACCAAGTTGATTGACCCAGAGCCCCTTTAGAATAGGCTATTCTGGTTCTTCCCATGAGAACCATCCATCCAGGGCCTAGGGGTCAAAATTTGTTATTGATTCAGCATGCTGCCAGTAGTTTCTAAAACGAGACCACAAAATGACATCATCTGAGAAAGTAGTTCTCTACTCTGAGTAACATCAAAGTCACCTAAAAGGCTTTCAAGACCTGTCAATCAGAGCAGCACATATGGAGAGTCCAATCCCCCTGCCTACAGCTCAGGCATCACCGTATCAAGAAGCCAGGCCCCTGACATGAATCCAGCAGAAGGCAAAGTTGCAAACAGCCCATTTGAGGAGGGAAGAAGAATCCAGGCCAAAGCTTAAAGCATTCCCCATTAAATGTTGCTTCCGGCAGAGGCCAGTGGGGGAAGGAAGGCCAGAGAGAGAAAAAGGGCTGAGAAAGACAGCAAGGTCAACAGTATCAGACGCCACTGAGTGAATCAGAAGAGGCCAGAGAAACAGCTACACATTTGACAACACAAAGGCCACTTAGAACCTTGACAAGGCTTTTGTGACATGGTAGAGAGAGATCAGATCGGATGGAGTTGAAGTGGAAGCAGGCATTATGGGCAAACTATATTGAATCTTGTTCTGAATAGGTGGATGTCAAAGACACAGTGTCTGTAACTGGATGTAAGGAGAATGGGGTCTTTCTCATGGGCTAATGGGAATTCAGCTGAACAGAGAGCATTTGGGGACAAACGAGAAGGGTGTAGGACCTACAGTGTGATGTCCCTGACAAAGCACCAGGAGATGGAATTAGATAGGGAAGAGAACGGCAGGCCTTTGATGAGAGCAAGGACCCCTCTACCTTCAAAACTAGACGAAAAAATACAGAATACATAAACTAAGCAAGGCTGACTTTAAATTTATGGGTAGAGAGATCATGAAGTTTCCATTTAATGAATAATATAAATATTTTTATCATTGTTATCCTAAAATAAATTTTGCCTTGGAGACTTGCTCATCCTACTGTCATGGACCTATTCTCACATAAATGAGCATACATCAGCCCCCCCCCCCTAAGCGCTGTGCAGTGTTCTTTCTATATCAGGCCACCATGTATTTCATCAACACTGTTGGGGAGGGAACATAGCTATTTTCCCTATGTTTTTGGTGACAAATGTCTTTTACATGCCCCTTTTCTTACTTTTTAAGTATAGATATATAAACATGGGGGTTTATATAAAATTTCTTCCTTAATATATACTTCAGGTTCTCAAGAGAAATAGAACCAGTTACAGAAAAGGGAGAGCAAAGAGGTGGAAAATGTATTGTAAGAATTAATTCATGTGATTGTGGAAAATGAAGTGTGCCACAATTTTCTAAAGCTAGAAAACCAGGTAATTGGGTGGTGTCATTAAGTCTGGAGAGCTAACAATCAAAGGACTTGAAGAATCCAAAGACCTCTGGTGGAAGTCCTAGAGTTTGAAGGCTGGAGAATCATTTCTCTGTTGGCCAAGGTCATACAGCTCAAAGAGAAAGGGTAAGTTTCCTCTTCCTCTGCCCTTCTGTTCCATCTTGTGCTCAAGAGACTGGATGAACTAGACTCACTGCTGAGGGTGGCTGTTCATCCCTCAGTCCAGTTATCCAAATCTCTTCAGAGATAGTGATTCACTATAGAATGTTTTAGTTTTCTTTATGTTGCTATGGTAAGCACAATGACCCAAATCAACTTGGTTTCCAAGTTACAATCCCTTATTGAGGGAAGTCAAGACCGGAGTTCAAGGCAGGAACCTGGAGGCAGGAACTGAAGCAGAGACTATGGAAGAGTGCTGCTCACTGGCTTGTTCCCCAGCGGTTTGCACAGCTTGCTTTCTTATACAGTCCAGGACCACCTGTCCATGGATGGTGCCGCCCACATTAATCATTAATGATAATAATCTTGAGATGCCCATAGGCCAATCTGATAGAGGCAACTCTTCAGGTGAGGTCCCCTCTTCCCAGGTGACTCTAGATTGTGTCAATTTGATTTAAAAAAAGAAAAACTAGCCAGCATATCTGGGCATCCCCCAGCCTGCTCAAGACGCCACATAAAATTAGCCATCACAATTATTTATCCCCTTTCATTTTTCAAAAACTTTTATTTTGCCTCCCTACAGCCAGAATTTTGCTTTATAAAAAGCCAAGGACAGAACTGCCCCTCTCTTTCAACACTGAGTGCTAGGCAACATGTTTGCCTTTCACACAACTTTGCTCCGACGGGCCTCCTTTAACATATTACAGTCTCACAGCACATTAAGTAATTGGTTGTCCTTCGTGTGAAATTTATATTAATTATGTTCTTTGAAGGGAAGCTTCTCATTTTTCTGCCAGTACAACTGCCAACAAGGAGATATTTGGCCAGGCTTCGGTGGGGGGGACAGCTACTAGAAGCTGAAAAACCTCCTAGCTTAGATTCCCATCTATGCTTCTTTTTTTTTTTTTTTTTTTTTTTTGAGACAGGGCTTCTCTGTGTAGTTTTTGTGCCTGTCCTGGATCTCACTCTGTAGACCATGCTGGCCTTGAACTTACAGAGATCAGCCTGGCTCTGCCTCCCGAGTGCTAGGATTAAAGGCATGCACCACCACTGCCCAGCTCAGCTCCCAGTTCCTGACATGGTACTCAGTCATTGAGTTCTCCCAGACCCCAAACACCAAAAGCTCCTCTGTGTAAGGACACTGTCTGTTGTGCAGTTTCCTGTGTGCATCATGGGATTATTTGTTCTTTCTCTAAAGCCCTTATCCACCAACGTCAACAAGATCCAACAGCTAATGTTGAGGATCAGGGGTCTCTTTAAAATATAAATCTGATGTTTCCTTACTGGGTGAAGCCCTGCAGTGATGGTTCATTGCTTGCTAATAAGCAGTCTTCCATGAAGGGGCCTACAATAGTCCTCCTGTCTGATACCATGGTCACCATGATACCTCGAGTTTCTTAAGCAAATAAAAATTTGTTGCCTGCTTACAAGAGAAGGTTCTATGTAGTTGTTTTTCTTTTCTTTTTTCTTCTTTGTTTTTTTACTCTTTGTTTTTTTTTTGGGCACCTCCAGACAGCTCCCACATAAATATTTGGAGTCTTATTCTTACTTATGACTGCCCAGCCTTAGCTTGGCTTATTTCTAGCCAGCTTTTCTTTCTTTTTTTTTTTTAATTCTTTATTAAGAAAATTTGTATTCATTTTACATACCAACCACAGATCCCCCTGTTATCCCTCCTTCCACTCCTCCCCAGCTTCCCCCACCCTGCAACCCGTCCCCCCATTCTCTCTTCCAAAAAGTAAAGCCTTCCATGGGGAGTCAACAAAGCTTGGTACATTCAGTTGAGGCAGGTCCAAGCCCCTCCCCCTGCCTCAAGGCTGTGCCAAATATTCTACCATAGGTAGTGGGCTCTAAAAAGCCAGCTCATGTACCAGGGATAGATTCTGATCCTACTGCCAGAGGTCTCTTAAACAGACCAAGCTACACAACTGTCTCGCTTATGCAGGGAGCCTAGTCCAGTTGCATGCAGGCTCCCTCCATAGCTGTTGGTTTAAAGTTCATGAGTTTCCACTAGCTTTGTTCAGTTGTATCTTTAAGTTTCCCCATCATGATCTTGACTCCCTTGGCTCATACAATCCCTCTTCCCTCTCTTCAGATCGACTCTTGGAGCTCAGCCTGGTGCTTGGCTGTTGATATCTGCATGTGCTTCCATCAGTTATTGGATAAAGGCTCTATGATGACAGGTAGGGTATTCACCAATCTGATTACCAGGGTAGGCCAGCTCAGGAACTATTGCTAGTAGTCTAAGCTGGGGTCATCCTTGTGGATTCCTGGGAACTTCCCTAGCATCTGGTTTCTCCCTATCCCCATGATGTCTCCCTCTATCGAGATATCTCTTCATTTCAATCACTCCATCCCTGTTCCAGCTCGACCATCCTGTTGCCTTATGTTCTCATCCCCCATCCCCTACCCTCTATTGCGCCCCTCACCCCCAGTTTACTCAGGTGATCTCATCTATTTCCGCTTTGCAGAGCAATCCATGCATCCTTCTAGGGTCCTTCTTGTTAGCTAGCTTCTCTGGAGCTGTGAGTAGCAGTCTCGTTATGCTTTGCTTTACATCTAATATCCACTTATGAGTGAGTATGTACCATGTTTGTCTTGTCTCCAAAATATATAAAGAACTCAAGAAACTAGACATCAAAATACCAAACAATCCAATTAAAAAATGGGCTACATAGATAGCTAAACAGAGAATAATCAACGGAAGAATCTCAAAGAATGGCCAAAAGACATTTAAGGAATTGCTCAACATCCTCAGTCATCAGGGAAATGCAAATCAAAATGGCTAAGATCAAAACACTGATGACAGCTTATGTTGGAGAGGATATGGAACAAGGGCAACATTCCCCCACTGCTGGTGGGAGTGCAAACTTGTACAGCCACTTTGGAAATCAGTATGGCAGTTTCTCAGAAAATTGGGAATCAATCTTCCTCAAGACCTAGCTATACCACTCTTATTATATACTCAAGGAATGCTCAATCATACAACAAGGACACTTGCTCAACTATGTTCATAGCAGCATTATTCATAATAGCCAGAATGTGGAAACAGCCTAGATGCCCCTCAACCAAAGAATGGATAAAGAAAATGTGGTGCATATAAACAATGGAGTACTACTCAGCAGTAAAAAACAGTGACATCACAAAATTTGCTGGCAAATGGATGGAACTAGAAAATATCATCCTGTGTGAAGTAACCCTGGCCAGCTTTTCTTAATTTAAATTATCCTGTCTACCTTTTGCCTCTGGGTTTTTATCTTTCCCTGTTCTATATACCTTTCTTTATTTCTTACTCTGTGGCTGGCTGTGTAGCTGGGTGGCTACCCCCTAGCATGCTTCTCTCCTCCCTTTCTCCTTCTATTTATTCTCTCTGCCTAGCAGCCCCACCTTTCCCTCTCTCCTGCCTCACTATTGCCCATTCAGCTCTTTATTTGACCAATCAGGTGTTTTAGACAGGTGCAGTAACACAGCTTCACAGAGTTAAACAAATGAGACATAAAAGAATGCAACACATCTTTGCCTCATTAAACAAATATTCAATAGCATAAAAGAATGTAACACATCTTCAACTAGTATTCCACAACAGTTCTGTCATTCTTCTTTGCCAGCTTAACCACACATCAATCATCTTTCAGATCTTAATGCAACTGTCACCTCGTCAGAGAATCTCTAGTCTAGACAGGTCAAATCCCACTGCAGTCTGCTCTCCTAGTCCCATGTGTCTCTCCATTGCAGGCATCATCACTTCTATCCGGAAGCTCACATTTCTATGCTTACCTCTTGAGTATGTTTCATGGAAACTAGAATGTCCCATTTCTTTCATCAGCTGTCTATTACCAAGTATGGTGTCCAAGAAACATTAAAGGAGAGTCAACAAACAAGTAGCTAAAACAGAGAATCAGCGTAGAAAAGGGTGGGTAAGGGACTGGCCTCATAGCAGGGCATAGGAAAAGTAGGAGGGAATAAATCCCATCTGGTCAACCCTTCTTAATACATCTGTCCAGAAAGACTTCCATGATTCAAAGAGTCTAATGCAGCTGAACACAACATACTGTGGCCATGTTCATCTCATATGCATACAATCTACTGCATTCTCTGAAACGTCAAGTGCTTTCTGACTCTGAAAGGATATTAAAAACCCACTAGTCTGGGTTGGGATCTAGACCAGTGGTAGAGAGCTGGGCGTGAGTGGACAAGGCTTGGGGCTTAATCTATTCAACAACAGTAACAGCAGAACAAGAAGGAGAAAAATAACACTACCAAACAACAAAAACCACCAATCTAAGAAAACTTGTAAGCAACAATGAGGTCCAGATTGAGAAGTCATATCTGGCCCAGTGAATCCACAATTAATGCCACCTACCATTGTACTTTCTTGAAACGATAACAACATTAGTTCTTGTCCATTGTCTGTTACAATCAGTTCCCGATTCACTGGGAATCCAGCAAGTCAGAGGGCTCTGCCATGCCTGGCTGTCTCTATTTCTGAACTGGCTGACTGTCCTTCCCTGCCCACGTGTACACAGCAGTCAGCTCTGATGGAGGCATACAGCCCAGGGCTCTCATTCTTCATTTACTTCTTGTTCTTAACTAATGAAGCCTTGTGCCCTTGTGGGGCCTTGTTTCTACAAGGCCGACCACCTTCTTTTAACAGGACGTACTTGAAAAGCAAGATATTTCCCTTTGTACTAAAAACAAATGGTGATGAATGTGCTTGTTGTAATTAATCTGTGGTGACAGATTAGTGGTGTAGTGGCAGTTTTTTTCACTGCTCTGGGAGCCTTCCTTGATAGGACAGCTGGTGAGAAGGGACACCAAATTCAATTTGTTTCTCATTTGCATACATATGACAACCATCTGTGCTAATGGTGCTGCAATGTCTCCATTAGACTCAGTGCAGTGTGTGGCTCTCCCAGGCTCCCACTAGACCAGGGAGAGGGGGAGCTTAGGCAGCATAAACATTTGTAGAGGAAAAAGGGTGGGCTTGGTGGGGCACAGCCACCATTGCTCCTTCCACCAAAGGTTAGGCATTAAACAAGGGCTGTCCAGCCTCTCCCTAGAGGAAGACAAGCTTCCTCGGAGAACTCCATCTCCCTCCATTGAAAGTCTTACCTTCTCCCTGCCAAAGACCCAACTCAATCACTCACGGTCTATTTCCTCTCATCCATTCACTCAAACAAGTTTCACTTTGATGGCGACCAAATTTCTTAAATGATTGTACTTGTTCCAAAAATACTCACAGACTATCTACTGATCTCAGACACTATTCTAGGAAGAAGAGAGAAATATATTGTGTGTTACGAGTTTGTGTAGGCAGTCAAAGGCAGTAACAAAGAATAGAGGAACATTCCATGTGGTGTCAATTTCATGTGGCATCAGCTCCTACATGAAGAGCCAAGACAGGATGCGAGAAGGTGTGGAAGAGATAGCAAAGGATGACTGAATTAGGCTCCCATCAGAGAAGTCCTTTCTGAAGAGACTACATATAACCTTTCATTTGAGTGACAAGAAAGAGCAAGTCCACATACACCAAAAGACAGTGCATTATTCCAAAGAAAGAAAGTCGATACTACCAGACCCATAGATTGAGTTCAGTGAGTGAGGAAGGGGAAGGAGGCTGGAGTGGCTAGGGGTGAGGAGAGTGAGGATATGAGAGTTTGCTAAGACTGTCATAGCAAGTTACCACAGACCACGTGATATGGCTTAGTCCATCAGAAATGCCGAGCTGTAGTTGAGTTCTAAAGCTTCACAGTCCCAAATCCAAGCACCAGCATGGCTGAAAACTATCCTTCATTGCCTCTTCTACCATCTGGTGTCCGCTGGCCATATCCAGTATACCTTCACTTACCGACATGTCTCTCCCTTCCCTGTCCCTGTCCTCACATGGGCCGTCTTCTCCTCGTGGAACTCTGTGCTGGTCTCTTCTTCTAGCAAAACAAGTTTTAACGGCTTAACCAGTTGACATACATCAGGCAAGACACCAGAGACCGCCTGCAAGAGCGACAGATGACACTGGAAGATTGACCGCCGTGATGTGGTGTTACCAAACTGGCATGCTGGTGGCATGTAGAATCATGGGAAGAGGCAAAGAGGGGAGGATGGTGGCCGCTCACTCAGGAAGCTGTTGTTGGGATCCACCTCATGTCGTGATGGTTTGGCCTGAGGAAGTGGAAGGGAAATGGAGTGAAGAAAAAGGATTGGAGATGTAAAAGATGGCATTCACAGACTATAATAGATCGGGGGTGGGTGTTTGGAAAATGAAAAGAAAAAAAATGTCATGTTTTGTCATAAACAGTTGGCATAATAAGACTTGTTTACTGGAAGAGAATTTGGTGTAGGGAGGAGGGGCATGTTTGAGAGAGAAAATGAGATGCTCCATTGAGGACAGGTTAAATTCGAGACAACCACTTTGAAACATAAAGCCATCCATTTGTGTGTGTACATATAGTGTCTGAACAAAGAATTGGGATGCATAGAAAAGTAAAAGTCACTATCTGGAAGATAGCCTTGAAGCCCACGGCTTCAGTGAGGACACCTCCAGAAGAGTGTACGAAGATGAGAGATATAGAGAAAGGAGGTCTCTGCCACAAATCCTGGGGAGCCTCTTCCTCTTCTCTCTGTTGTGTCCCACGGTAAGTGCCCTTCCCTGTCACAGAGGGACTTAGCTTACTGGTATACCATGTGGGGCTGGCAGATTGGATTAATTTTCTGTGATTGCTGGCACACTGCACCCATATTTCATCTCTACCCCCCCACCTTTTCTGCTTCCATTTCATGAAGGAAGGGAAGATGTGCACTCACAGACAGGGGTTTGTCAACTCCAACACTACTGACATTCAGTGGAAGGGATGATAGTTTACTAAAGAGCACTGTCCGATGTGTGTTTGACTGAATGCCTGCCCTCTACCCCCTAGGTGACAGTAGTATTGCCCATCATGCCACTTAGAAATGCCTCCAGACATTGGGAGTCAGGGGGCTGCAAAATGACTGCCAGTTGCAAAACATCAAATAGACACCTTGGGACTCTAGATGCAGGGATGAAATTCCTTAAGTCATTGTCATTAGTGATGACGACTTGTAGACCACGGCACATAGGTTTCTTCTACCTTTCTCTCTCCACAACAGGAGATAAGCACACCATCAAAACCTTG